AATAGCTCTGGCCATGAAACGTGGTTAAAATTTAAAATGTGTCTTTTGGTTCTTAATGATACGAAGTGGTTAATTCCCCATTGCCCAGTAACATGATTGTGGTTAGAGGAAGAGCACAATCACATGGTTGAGGAATTGAAACTTACACGATTGATTTCTTGGGAATAAGTAGGGACTAGCTTTTCCGTCGTGCTTGGAGTGAGGCTACTAACTCTGCACCACTGCTTTCTTTATTCTCAACCCAGTCTCTCTTTTGCCCGTGCTTTTCTCCATGTGGACCTTTGAATCACATGCTCACACCACCTTTAAATTGCTAACATCATTCCTAATCCTTCTTTTTCTGACCAATCTCACATCTTTCTGCCTCCTTCAGCCCTATCAATCTCTCCCATGCAACTCTTCACTTTATTTATCAGAATCATTAATTAATTATTATACTACTATCTTAAGGTCCAATAGCATTTCAAGTAAATCGAACACAATATATGTTTGGTTTCATTAAAATCGATGTGAATCCCATGATACTATTATACTTGATCGCAACGCTACCCTTGCGTATTCAAAGCAAATACGCAATCTTATCGTGTTTTCTTGCTTAATTTAATACTTTGGTTATACCTGTGTAGGATCAAATCTGCAATGCATAATTGCATATCTACGAATTAAGTATATTCTCCCTCTTGATGTGGAATCGGAGTTGGAGACACAACATGTGCTACGTTGCAAGCTTTCATCGATGTCATTAGCATGCGCTGTCGGCTTTGCTATATAAGTACCTATAGATGCATGGCCTTTAGGACAATGAGTAATGACATATGATTGGCTAATTGGGGAACATTAGCTCCTCACTCCTTCATATCCAATCACTTTCCATTTTTTAACCAAGGTATTTTCCCCCAATGATTAGAGATTAAAGACACCTTTGAGTAAAAAAATTAATCAAACATTTATTTTTAATGATCTCTTATCGAATGAATCTGAAACATTTATAGGCTTCATTATGAAATTTATTAAAATAAACATAAAAAAAAGTTATAAGAAGGTTTTAACCACTTGTCAATTGCGTCAAACTTTATTGACATCTAACCACTTGTTTTGCTTAAAAGCAAACGTTTAGTTGTGCAGGGTAGATATTGAGTTCATTGACATATAATCACCATGGAGGTATATAGGTTCCATTAGGCCAAGTTTTACAAGTTTTGGGCCCAGTTTAATTCTTGAATTTAAGTCTCAAGTTTGTTCTAAATGGTTGGTTTACAAAATTTTTTGAAAGTTTGACACCGTTTCATAATAAGACATTTTAAATAGGTTAAAAAACTTTCTCAAAATTAGCTACTTAGCCTAAACTTCATCTGATGCAACCAACACCCCTACATAACTCTTGTCCAATTTTAGTCCACAAGTGCTCTCAAATACGCAACCCTAATGCGGTCCATTAGTTTGGAGTTTGGACAATCATTGTTTCGGCCATAGGACATGTAGACAATATTGGACTGATAGATTGTAGAAAAGACAACCTAAACACTTGATAGTATGGCTTTTTATTTTCTGGACACAATCTAATTTTTGCTTTGAGCGTGGGTATTATCCGACCCACCATCTTTATTTTTGGGGTAATAACCCACTGGAATGTTTGATGAAAGGGTGAAAGTCCTCGCTGGTTTTCAGAGGTAGAAAAATGTACCACCCAACTAAACCTTACCCCAACACCAGCCCGTTTCCTGTCTCAAGTTTTCAGGTAAGGAACATCGTTTCTTGTTCTGATTTTTAAAATAAAGGCTGGAAAAGTGGTTTAACTTATATTTTATATTTAGATAGACCGAATTAGTCCAAACTCAATCAAGAAAAATTTGAATGGGTAAGAGGGGAAAAGTCTAAAACTATTCATACGAAATTCATTTTCTCCAATTGATCAAATCACATCCTTGTTCCCCGTATGACATTGTAATCTTCCTACTTCAATATCTTCTATTCATCCTACCCCCTGAATTTTTCTTAAAATTTTATATCCAATTCAAATTTTATATTTTATTTCTCCATCCCTATTTTCAGTATTTTGTTTAATTTCATGCAAACAAAATTTAAGAGTTAGCAGAAGGTTGGTTCAACATCAGGGAAATAAATGTCATTAATTATCATCCTAATCCCACTCCTAACAAACGGATATTCATTAATAAACGTCATTAATTATCATCGATCCTAATCCCACGTTCTTTCTATTTTCTTTCCCCTTCCACACGTGTGAATTCATATTTATTAATTATCATCCATTCTCATTATCCCGTGTGCTTGAAGGACATATTTTTATTGAAGCTTTTCTCCTGCTCGTCGTCCTCGTCTTACTTTCCCAAAAAAGTTACAAGCCTCCTAAACGTCCATTAACAAACTAGGTTAAGTCAATAGCATTCGTTATTTCAATTAAATTTAATTTCAATTTAGTTTCATTTTGAATTGAATCTTGCAAACTGTGTGTTGTGTAAAGCTGATACATGGAATTTGCACAAGATTATCGATGTGATTAAGAAGAACGACCTTACTTAGTAGCTTCATCTAAAGCAAGCGGCCTGCACCCCTTAATTGCGTCTGAAATTAGTTTTGTAGGTTAAATGGTTGTTTCCATTGAATGGCTACTTAAATGTTTCTGCAGCAGATTCAGAGTTGGATCTTCTTAAATCACTCAAAAGAGTTGCGACACTGGATCGGTGGGGGAGGGGAAATAATAATTCAACATTTCCAGCTCTCTTCTGTCATCGCTTGAATTGCATCATCGATTCTCATCTATGTTAAAATGAGAAATTTTGAAAGATAAAAGCCAACAACAACACATTTTTAGTTATTTAAAAAAAATTATTAAAAATATAAAAAAATATATGGATCTTGTTAATTTTTTATTTCTAATTTATATTTTTAGAAATCTTCATTTTGAAATCTTGATCTAAATTAATTTGTTGTTGATGATAATTAAGGAACATATATGCAATATTTGAGAATTTTGTCATTCAAGACTAGCATAAAGATAAGGCCAAAATTTAAATGTAATTAGCACTATTAGTAAGGATCTTCAATCAAAATTAGAATTTTATTTTAATAACTTTGTATAATAAAAATCAACGTGAAAGGTTCACACATATTACTAAGATCATCTAAAATTGAAGAATAACATCAACAATATTTAACTTCCATATTTAAAAATGAAATAACTAAATATTGAAAATTTAAATCCATTTTCAGAGTTGCCATTTGTCTTTTCTGCTCATTTCAGTTAAAAAAATAGATGTATAATATATTGTTTCGTATCATGAATTGGGTAAATGCCTTGAAGTATGAATAATCAAGAGCACTAGTTACATCTTCTGATACACAAAAGATTAAGCTAATATCCTCACTATTGTGAGAATGACTTGGAGACTGGATGTTTTATCAGGGTTTTTTTGTTAATCTAATTTTACACTAAGCGTTATGAGATCCCATCCTTAGCCTAATAAAATGGTCATGATCGAATTAAGTTGATATGAAGATAAAAAAATAAAAATTTAAATATTATGTAATTATCTTTTAAAACTATAAAATGAATAATCTATAACAAAATATTCTACAATGATAGATTATATTATAAACTCTAAAATCAAAAGTAAAGTATGATATCAATTTTAATATTATGTTAATATAATATTAATTATTTTTAAAATTATTTAATACGATCCAACTAATTTTACAATTAATTTATTAAACAATTTTAATTTTAAAAATTATTTATACCGTTATAAATTTTTTTAGTTAAATTTACAATTAGAAACTATAAGTTGAAGATGCGCACAATACATCTTAATTAATTTTTATTTATTTATTTAGTGGTGGCGCATCTTAATTCGTTAAAGTAGGGTGACACTAGCATCAACTGGGTAAGTGGTTTTGATCGTAAAAATAAAATAGTAAGTGGTTTATTTGTTTTATTTATGACCTCTCGAAGAAAATAATATTCTTACCTTCGACCAATCTAACTACAACTAAGGATTGACAGTTTGACACGCAATTATATGTTGATTTTATTTTTTGGTATATCGATTCTGCTTAATTTATTAGTTGTTTTATGCCACCCACCCCCGGCAAAAGCAAAACGGATGAAATTCTTATCATTAAATAGAATACCCCGACTTTGATGGTTCAAATCTGTTTGAATACAGAGAGATCAATAAAAAAATGTCAGGTTTATTGTACAAAATTGATTAAGATCATTGAATTCCTATGAATACAACGGATTTCATTTTCAACTGTTTATTGCGGAAGCTAAATCATTCAAATAAATAAATAAACAGGGCCTACTTTTCCCAACTATAAAAGTTTAAAATTTAAATTTATAAAACTAAAATTTGGTTTTAATTTTAAATATTTCAAAACATATAACTGAATCATACTAGTATGGCCTAAATTTCTTGTGTTTTTTTGGACACGGGTGATTTTATCCTGTGTTTTTCTTCTAAGATAATCACCCCTTCCCCTCAACTCTCTCTCTCTTGTGGATTTTACGTAAAATTAGACAAAAACCACTTTTTGCAACACTAATGGTTCCTCGTTTTTCTCTCGTGTTTCACCAAATGAACATTTTACAGCTAGCCAATGGAGAAGGAGGTCAACACTAGGAGACATTGTGTTGAAGTTATATTTTAGTCATTTGTATGCTCAAAAAGACAACATTTTATAGTGTGTTTAATTGCCAGCTAAGACTAAGTTATCAGTGTTAATGTCACATAAAAAAAGCATGTTAAGTGTAGAAGCTTATTTTATGTGGGATAATAGTGCTGACCGAATTAACCTCAAAGAAAAGGATCAAAACTAAAACTTTAAAAAGAAGAGGAAAAGTATAATTTAGCTCATAGTACATACTAATTTACAGATGATGCTTCTTCCTCTTCCCTTTCCCTTGTGTTTATTATTGCCGTGTTCAATAATCATTCACAAGCAGCAGCAAAGAGAATGTTTATAGACAATTCAACTGTTGAAGCCTGAAAGTAAACTTCTAATTATATCAGAATACAATATTTACAAGGGGGGAGACTGTGTCCTCTTCCAAAAGAAAACAACGAAACAAATGCTTGGCCACTTGGAAAAAGAAAAAGAGAGTGGAAAACGAAAGACAAACTGTGTTTGACTAGTTAGTCAATGTTAAGGCCTCCACAATTAGTGATGATAGATAAAGTAATCTGTCATGTATATGATTCTCTGTGTGTGTGTTCTGTATATATTTGTATAGCACTAAAGGATGCCAAAGATCCCACTCAGATTGTGAGACACAACAAACATTCTTCCAAATGAAGACGATGTATGTGCAGCAAAGCCATGTTCTATTAAGACAAGTATTGATGACGTTAAATGCCAGAGCCAAGACAAATACCAACTTTGCGCACTCTTTGCTGTTAAGCTATGATGCTGTGTATGGAGATTTTCCAGAACCATCTAAGACGATTTCAAATAGATCAGCCTCAGATTCCTCATCAAAATCCGTTGTGTGATTATTAGTATTAGTATTACTCCCATTGTTGTGACTTCCTTTGGTTGTAGACCGATTGAGCCACTGAGAATCAATCCTTCCCATTGAGAATAGCTCCTTGCTGTCATCATAGCCCAATGTAGCAGCAGGGGAATTTACAAGTGGGGCTATAAAGCATGGATTTGGTGTTCTCTGGGCATTTGCAGGTGCATATTTAAATGCACTTTGTCCAAAATTAATTAATACCAGAATGTCAATATTTGCAGCCAAGATTGGATAGAGTGGAGTGCCAAATTCTTCTGATTGGCAGTGAATGACATGCACTAGCTCAGAGTCTAAGGTGAAGAAAACCTTCTTCTGCCTAGGATCAAACCCACAACCAATCACCCTATCGGTTCCTACCCATTCTGCCTTCTCAGACTCGAATACAAGTTTCATTCCTGTAACAAATTTTCATACTTAGATGTCTCAAAATACTATAGCAGAAACCAAAACCATGTTTGTAAGTAAGTATGCGACTTATGTGGAGTCAATTTTCTGATTCCCGATTGACAAAACAAAATCATAAAAGACATAATTGTTACTTGCTAAAAGTATTCATAACGTGTGACAATGTGATTATAAGTGTGGATTACGAAATATTTCATGTGGACCATTGATAGTGTCGGTATTTTAAGTGGGTTTAGAAGTGTGACCAGTCCACAAATCTCTACCTAATGGAATGGAATAATATTGATGCCAATGCTCAAATGGTAAACAAATGAACGTGGAAAACAATAAGCTAATGGTAGATGATTTATTAGGAAATAGTTACCATCAAGATAGACAGAACCGTTGGAGTTGAAGCCAATGCTCCCGGGGTAGCTACCGGGAACTCTCAAAGGAACAGAACCTCCAGCGGTTAATCCCAACGAGAACATCACAGATTCACTCTTCCCACCCTCTTTGCCACCAAGCTTTATTTCTTCAACATTGTTGGCTTTATGACTATTGCTGCTGGTAACATGAACCAAAGCCTCCGAATTCCCTTTAGCATTAGAGTTACCTTGAACAAGGAGCTTGGTCTTTTCACCTTCACTCTTCCCAACCGATTCATAGTCATCCCCACGAGAATACAAAATAGTAATTTCAAAATATGCTTCTTGTGGAAAAGCACAGTTCCCCAAAGGAGGGCCAGGAAGTGGCAAAGCCGTTCTAATGATAGAAGCAACAATCATAGAAGAAGGGTCTTTGTTGTTATTTTGATGAGACTTTTTCATCCCAGGATTCAATCTCACCTTCTGCATAAACTCAGCAGATCCACGTGACACTTCCCAGCTTATCTCAGCCTCTGATTCTCTTCCATGATCACTTGTTGGTGCAGCGCACACACCTAAAAGTGCTGATCTTTTTGAAGGAGATGGCGTGTAGCTCTTGTAACCCGTGAAGGCGAATCTTGACCACCCATTTTCAACAGCATCAGCAGCCATAGAAGGGTGATCACCCCAATTGAACAAGGTTCTTTTTCCAGAAACCCCACCACGAAAAACATAGTAATTGTAATTGCTCTTGTTCTTGCTTCCTTGATCCAATTGAGAAGGTTGGTGATGAAGAGTTGAAATCCCAGCTTGGAGACTCTCCATTCTGGTCAAGCTAGCGGGTTCTACGAAATTTCTACGCTTTCTTTGATGACACCAACGCCAGATGAAAACCAACAAAAGGGTCGAAACGCATCCCACCGCGGATGCTGCAACCGCCACGTGTATCCAATGGCTCATCTCTTTGTTCTTATGCTTTGTTAAGTTCCGCTTTCTTTGGGTTGCATAGATTGTTGTGATCAGAGAAATCGTTGGGTTTGGAAGAGTGATGGGAAAGGAAGAAAGAGGAGAAAATTATGCTGAGAATAATGGCGGGCGTGGACTAAGACTGGTTCAATCAAACTATGCACAAAGAGGTCCTAGAAAGCGTTACCGAACCGTGAAGTGGCACACATCTAGCTTCCGTTTTTCTTAGATTAAGAATTCAATTCTTTGTCAGTTCCCTTTAATTCAATGTATGGGTTTTTTTTAATCTACTTTTATATTACGCATATAAGTATGCATAACATTAAATTAATGAAAAATTAAAATGTTTAATATATACTAAAAATATTTTTTAAAATGTACAAAAATATTAAATACAAATTTTATATAAATATCATTTAAAAAATAATATATTAAATGTTATAATTTAAATAAAAGTTATTTATTAAATTCGTATCATATATACACATAACGAGAACCGACAGACTATCCTCAATGAGGAGGGACGCGTTTGACGATTTATTTTGTCTTTTGTTTTCAGAGAGAGAGAGAGTTAATGAGAACAGCGCTAAGTTATGCTTTCCATTAGCAAGCACTTCTAGAAACAAAAAATGATGATTTACACTGTCAGATGTGTTTTTATAATCTTAGTGAAAAAGATAACGGACGAAAGGAAAAATCATAAATACAATTAATGAAGGAATAAAGAATGAAAAGAGATAAAAAGACACAGAATAAATATAAAATTTGAGATCATTTCACATTTTGATAAAAACTGAGAGTACAAAAGCAATTGAAATTAGCATGTTGATAAAGGTCATTTCACATTTATCTTAAATTTTCCCAGATTCATTTGGTCCTATAACCTTGATTTGCAATAGAATACTATTAAATGAGTGGGATTAAGTTAATTTGTGAAATAAATATGTTCCTAAAGTATTGGCATGTATTTTTCTCACATTAACTTGCGGATTAACGGGTCAGAAAGGAATATGATTAATCTACGGAAGATAGATGTGATTGATCATAAAGAAAGGGATAAAGGGTGTTAGTTATTAAAGTCAGAAAATTTGTATAATTAGCAAAATTAGTAGTTCTCCATTACTCGAAAAACAAAAAGTTGTATAAAGAGAGGATGTTTTCCTGTTTGATTATCCTGTCGCTGGCACCTTCGGAGCAAAAAGTTGATGCTTTTTTTTTTTTCGCTTCTGGTCATTAACTGGGTGTCTTTTTTCTGTGTTCCGATTCGTCTGAATGGACATTTTGGGTTCTCCATAAAAAAACTAGAAGGAAAGAAAAACAAAAGGTTTTCAAACTAAAGACCGCGTGGCCCATTGGAATAACAGCAAGACCGAGACTTACAAAAAGTTACAGATACTACACAATCATACAACATCGTTACTTTAATTATTAAAAATTAATATTACATGCGATATTATATTTTCTATACATATGTCATACATAAGTTATTTATCACATATTGTTATTTTTAATTTAAAACTTATAATTGAACTTACAAAAAATAAATTTATCTTTTATTTATCATATTATTTAAGGAGTATGAAAATTATAGAAAGTTGTACTTTCTTGTATGAACAATTATAAAATATATATTATTTTCTTTTGATTTTTTTAATATATCAAGACATGCAAATACCTTAATAAAAGAAAGTAAATTCTAACAAGTGTTCTCAGAACACTAATTAAGAAATAAGAAGTAAAAAAAATGATTAAGAACTATTGTTAATGTATTATCATTATAAATTTTAATACCATAAAAAAAACCAACTTTAAGATTTTTTTTGAACGATAAATATGCCATAGAAAACTTATTTCTGAACCAAAACGATTTTTTCAATGATTCCAAACAACGCAACGTTTGAATGGACTTCCAACATTTCATTTGCATATAGTGGGAGTTTTAGGTGAGTGAATGCACTCTGCCACTAATGCACCTGACATCATAATTCATGTTCAGTTTGTGTTTAATAACAAATATAGGTTAAAACTTGCACATGAAAAATTTGTCTCATTCAATGAACAATGGATCTTCTAGATATGGAACATGGTGGAGTCGAATTTGACGCAGAAAATAAATACATTAGTACGACTTTATTAATATGAATTTTATGATTTGGTATTTTTAGACATTTTGGTTAAATATTCAGACCGAACGTATTCTTTTTCTTCCACGTTAATAAAAGGACAAGTGCATTTTGATCTTCTAATATTCAAATCCAACTTAACGAAAAACTATTAATCTTCAGACTTTGAAGTATTCCCCTTATTTGTTAAACACCTTTTTAAAATTAATTTAAACATTTTTTGACAAATAATTATAAAAAAATAAAAGATTTAAATGAATCATCAAACTTCTCATAATAAAATTAACTTATTGACTCAATTGTTTATAATTTCTTTCAATATTTAGTTTCCCTATAAATATATAAATTTATAAGAATTTATTTGGTAAATTACAAATCCAGTACTTATCTCAATTAAAAAGACTTTTGTAAGCTATAAACTAACTAAAACTGGGTCATGGTATACTTTCATATTGGTTTTATTCAAAAAATAAAGCATGAAAGGGCAATGAACCAAATAATTGGTAATCATTCTCTGACCAATTAATTTGATGATGATACATAATTAAATTGCTTTTTCAGATTGATGCAGCTGTGAAAAGTGGGCATCATTATTTAAATTATAACTAATCCCTTTAAGCTGTTATTATATTTCGTAAGATGGTAATCTATCTTAATGGGTTGGCCAATAAGAGTTACTTGCATGTTTATTTGTTTACTTTTCAATGCATAGATAAGTTAAAGAAAGGTACTTTCTCTTTTCAGATGAATCACGTCATATGTGATTGATAATTGTAACTTACGATGTTTTAAAGAAAAATTTGCAGAATTTTAGAAACCTTTACCAACAAAATCAAATAATACTAAGCGTCAAAATTTAGAACTCCGTCAACGTCAAATCTCACACACATAAACTCAAATGAATATTTAACCTGCAAGTTATTCTTCTCAATCATAAAGACTAAATTTAAGTATTTAAAAATAAAAAATATTAAAGTATATATTTATTATGTTAAAATTATGAAATTACAATATTTATTTTTTTGATAAAATTTTATTATTATTAATTTTTTTATCATTAGTCCTAACGTTGAAGTTAACATTTTTTTTTATTTTAATAAAAAAATAATATCTTATTCCTTTATACATGAACTTTCTATATGACAATTCCCAACTCCATCGGTTAATTGGTGGGGATAGAAGAGTTTCTGAGGCACACAAACATAAAAATATGATGGTTTGTAAATCTTCCTTACGATTATGGGAATTTGGAAATTGGTGTGGACAAAGAAGAATATAAATCACATGACTTGCTTAATATTTTAATCTTGATTGGCCTTTATTTTAAGATTTGGTATAACTCTAACCCTTCGCATGCTTTTTCAAGGAGAGGTCAACTTACACTCGTGTTATATAATCACTTAAGGTATATAAACTATACTAAGTTTCATCAATAATTATGTAGTATTTATATTATCTGTATCAAATCTCATAAAATTAAAATATAAGAAGGTAATATTTTTTTATTTTTATATATTTTAAAGTGCATATTATATATAATATGCATTTTTAAACTCACTAAGGTTCCCTAACAATTCTTTCCCTGTTTTATTAATTTTAAAGGAAAGAAGGTATTTATCTTAGTGGAACAATATGAAAAAAGAAAAGGGTATTTATCTAACACATATATCACACGAAAAAAGAAGAAGAAAGAATCGTTATGTTTCGTACTATATATTTCAACACGTAAGATAACGAGTCAAAGTATTTAACTTTCCCTCGTAGAACATGTACAAAAACAGAGAGGGCATTCGTGTCTTGTTTTATGTGCGTTTCACGCGACACGTCCACAGTGTGTCTTCGATCGACAATTTTTCTTTTCAATTAGTTAATTTTTTATATGTATAAAAACATGCTTTAAACTAATAAACCCCCAAGTTTTGTTGGTTTCATATCTACAATTGGCATTTTAAACCAAATTTTGGAGAATATATTTCTATTTTAGTTTTAAAAACTGTAAATATTTACTCACTTCAATTTTTAATTCTAATTTTTAATATAACTTAAAAAAATATTTAATCTAATCTAAAATGCATTAAAAACGAATAAGGTAATTAAATGACACATATATTACTTCATTAAGAAAGAAAATAAATTTTTTGTAAAATTAGAGATGAAAATTACTAATGCTTATAATCTCAAGAATAAAAATAAAAAAACAGTTTTTGACTGTTTTACTTTTGAGCATTTGTTTGACGAAAGAAAAGTTGATTAAATTGATCGATTAAGACTGATTTGTAAATGAAAAGCAAGAAATTTTCAGCCGTAGAAAAGCATCGCTTTTATTTTATTTTACTGTAAATAGCAATTAGAATAGGTTAGCTAGGCATTGACTGAAAATAAAAAGGATAGCTAGGTTGCTTTTTAAAAATTTATGGCCAGAGTTACATTAAGTCTAACTTAAGCCATGCCTATTTTCACTAAAAAATTTAACAAATATTTGAAAAATTCATCTAGTTTGTAAGGTTAGATTTTATGTTATTTAACAATCTTTTTGATTTTGACAAAATTATTTTTTCAAGTAATTTATTGTTATATTAAATTCTATTATAAATTATTTAAAATTATATATTTATTTATTTGAATATTTAAGCTTATAGTTCATATAAAAATTTAGAAACATTAGCATATTAATACCTTTTAAATACTTGTTTATGTCATTGTTATTTTTTTAAAGTTATATCTTCAAAATCTTAAAAAAGAAAAGTTTTATATTATTGTAGCACTTACTCTCTTAGACGACGTGTCATTATTATAATGGAAAGAATATATATTATAAAAAAGATTGAACAAATTATCGATAAGATAACTCATATTAGTTAAATAAATAAAATTTAATTTTTGATATGTATAAAAGTGTAAAAATTGATCGAGGCCTTAAAAATTAATGAAACTTAACCCAACTCAACCTACTTGCTTTCCTAACTTTTAAATCTTTTTCTTTAATAATTCATAGATTATTGCTGCGCTAAAGTAAGTAGCAGTCACAGCATGCTGTCTCTAAACTGATGAAAACCGAATTCTAAGCCTTATCTGAAGTACCAGATTGGATTATAGTGACGGAAAAAAT